CTCATCCTCTGTCATCCCCTTCTCCTCCTGCCTTCAATCTTTCCCAGCATCAGGGTCTTTTCCAATGAGTCAGCTCTTCACATGAGGTGGCCAAAATATTGGAGTTTCAGCTTCAATATCAGTCTTTCCAATGAACATTCATTTCTTCAGGGTTGATTTCCTTTAGGATTGACTGGTTTGATCTCCTTGCTGTCCAAGGGACTCTCAAGAGTCTTCTCCAGCACCACAGTTCAAAAGCATCGATTCTTCAGCACTCATCCTTCCTTATGGTCCAACTCTCATATCTGTACATGACTACTGGAAAAACCATAGATTTGACTATGTAAACCTTTGTCAGCAAAGTGATGTCTCTGCTTTTTAATATACTGTCTAGTTTTATCATAGAAATGAGCAAGCATCTTTTAAATTCATGGCTGAAGTCACCGTCCGCAGTGATTTTTTAGCCCAAGAAAATAAAATCTGTCACTGTGTCCACTTTTTGTCCTTCTATTTGCCATAAAGTGGTGGGACCAGATGCCATGATCTTTGTATTTTCAGTGTTGAGTTTTAAGCCAGCTTTTTCACTCTATTTCACCCTCATGAAGAAGCTCTTTAGTTCACTACTTCCTCTTCACTTTCTGCCATTAGAGTGGTATCATCTGCATATCTGAGGCTGTTGATATTTCTCCCAACATCTTGATTCCAGCTTGTGATTCATCCAGCCTGGCATTTTACATGATATATTCTGTATAGAAGTTAAATAAGCAGTGTTACAGTGTATAGCCTTGACGTATTCCTTTCCCAATTTTGAACCAGTCTGTTGTTCCATGACTGGTTCTAACTGTTGCTTCTTAATCTGCGTATAGGTTCTCAGTAGACAGGTAAGATGGTCTGGTACTCCCATCTCTTTAAGTAGTTTCCTCAGTTTGTTGTGATCCACACAGTCAGAAGCTTTAGTGTGGTCAATAAGCAGAAGTAGATCAGTGTTTTTCTGGAACTCCCTTGCTTTTTCTGATACAGCAAATGTTGGCAATTTGATATCATCTTCCTCTGCTTTTTCTAAATTCAACTTGTACATCTGAAAGTTCTTGCTTTGTGTAAACAAATAGTGCTTGAACAAATAGACACTTATATGGAAAATAATGAACCTTGATCTGATGTTACACTCTACACCGAAACCAGCTAGCAGTGGATCATTGCTCTAAATATGAATGTTAAAGTTATGAAACTTCTAGAAGAAAACAGAAAATCTGTGATTTTGTGTTAGGCAAAGATTTCTTAAACAGGACACAAAATGCACAAACCGTCAAAGAGAACAAATGACAGTAGACATCATCAAAATTTAAAATTTTTGCTCTCCCAAAAGACACATTATAGAAAGTAAAAAGGCGAGCAGTAGACTAGGAGAAAATACAAGACAAAAAGGCTTGTATCCAGAATATATACACAGTTGGGTTTTAAACTCAGTCATGAGTAAAAGTATATAATAAAAATGGGTAGATTATTTCAAGAGACACTTCCCGTAAAGAGTGTATATAAATAAGCCCAATATCACTAGTCATTGGGGAAATGTATATTAAAATCCCATCAAGTTACCACCTTATACTCAACAAAACTGGTAAAGTTAACATTACAAATAATGCTGAGTATTAGTGAAGATGTAGAACATTTGGAATTCTCATATATTGCTAGGGACTGTGATATTGTGTAGTCATTTAGAAAAACAGTTTGGTACCTTTTTTAGGTTAAATTTACATTTAGGGATTCTTAAGGGGCTCAGTGGTTAAAAAAAAAAAAAAAAAAAGATCCTTCTGCCAGTGCAGGAGATGTGGGAGACGCAGGTTCGGTGCCTGAGTCAGGAGGATCCCCTGGAGGAGGAAATGGCAACCCACTCCAGCATTCTTGCCGGGAAAATCCTGTGAACAGATGAGCCTGGCGTGCTACATTACTGTCGTGGGGTCTCAAAGAGTTGGACACAACTGAGCGACTGAAAAGTGAAAGTGTTAGTTGCCCAGTCGTGTCTGACTGTGTGACCCCATGGACCATAGCCCGCCAGCTGCTCTGTCTGTGGAATCCTGCATATGTACCATTAACATGTGACCCTGCAGTTCTCTCCTAGGTAGTTTCCCAAATGAAATGAAAACATAAATCCACAGACTTGTATTATTCATTATAGCCTAGGAATAACCCATTTGTCCGTTTGCTAATGACTATAAATAAACTGTATATCCATAGTATGAAATACTGTTCAGCAGTACAAAGGGATGAACTTTTGATGAGCAACAACATGGGGATGAATTTCAGAAACATCACAGTGACTGAAGTAAGTCAAATGCGAAAGCCTAAACTCTGAAATTCTAGAAAGACAAAGCATTAGTAGTTGCCTGGGGCCTAGAGTCTGGGCAGGGAATTGTCTCTAAAGGGGCAGGAAGGAACTTTTTAAGAGGATGGGAATATTGTGGTTGTGGTGGTAGTTACATGACTATATGATTCATCAGTTTGTTAACCTGTATACTTAAAATGTCTCCATTTTATTGTACCACGGTAAAGCTATTGGAGAGAAGTCATATTGGTAGGGAATGTTTCTCTGCTTTTATTTATGTATATTGCTAAACTTTTCAATAAGTTTAAATGGGTGTTTTGAGACTTCTAGAATTTGTATTAAATACATGCACCTGGGGGGAGAAAGCTTCCTGAGGTGAATAAAGTTACAAGGTTGATGGGGCTGCTGTGTTGGTGTTCAGGGAAGGCTTTTCTGATGAAGGAACATTTGAACAGACACAGATGAAGTGAATTCAGTTAAGTCAAAGAAAGTCTTGCCTGTTTCTTATAGAATTTTATCTAAGTGTTTTGTTGTTTCTACTACTACATTTAAGATTTTTTCTTACTGCATTGGCTAATAATAAATTTTGGTTTTCATCTTTATTTGTCTTATATTTTCCATTTGTTAATTTCTTGAGAAAAGTAACTGTACAGATTTTATGTGTTGTTAACCTACAGTCTTCATTCTATGCTTTGTTTCCAGTATGTACTCAAATAATGCATTTTAATGTTTTTTACTCAGAATAAACAAATCATTGCTGTATTTGTTAATATTTGTTTTTCCTAGCTCAGTATAGCACTGTTATAAGTAGAACCAAAAAAAAAAAAAAACCTGAAGTGAAAAACCAAAGATGCAAGTGTAGGTTCATGTAACATAATTTTAATTTTACTGTAAAATAACACATGAGACTATTTGCTGGCACTTTTAAAGGCACCCATGGTAGATGAAAGGTGGGAGAAGTCAAAGTATTGAACTTGAATTTCACTAACAGATAAGAGACAATGTTTGGAAACAGTTGATTTGTTGGATATAGATTAGAAATGACTGTCTTGGCAAGATTTATGGTTTTGTTTGAATAGTAGAGGTTCTTTTAGATTTCATGCCTGTCCACTCTAGATCTAAAAGTAAGGTATCTGAAAAAAAAATCTGTCAAAATGGAAACATTAGTAGCCCGTGTTCACGTTTTACCAGTAGATGGCAGCAATGTGCTTTGTTTAAATGTTCTTGCTTTTATTTTTTAAGTTGCAACTTGAATAGATACTATATATTTTTCTTTTAATGAAGAGCAGGGCAGATATGATACCCTTTGTTTCTTTAAACACATAAAAGTCTTATTACTATTGTATAATATCATTTTATATGAAGTAATTTTAGAAATTCAACTGATATAACCTCAGAAGTGTTAACATTTTATAGCTTTTGTTGTAGCTACTTCTTAATTGAAATTTGTATTTTCCACAGTATTATTACTATTTTACATATACTTTTCTGCCTCATAGGTTTTTCTAAGAGCCCAAACTGTCATAAAATGTTATAGAACTAAAAAAGTATTTTTACTAAACAATATGTGAGTGTTTAATCACATAACTGTGGAGGCTTTTTGTTTGTTTGTTTGAAAAACACTCGTGAATTTTTCTCTTTCATGGACAAACGAAAAATTAAGGGTGACTTTTATAAGAAGAAAGCATTTTACTCTTAGGTAGTTAGGTCCAACCAGTTATCTTCACGTGGACTTGCCGGCCTCCGGGAAGTAAGTGACCTGCCTGCAGTGAATAAAGGTTCTTTCGCCTCTTCTGTCCCCAGCCCAGGAAGGCCAGTAGGATATGAGTGGTGCAGAGCTGACTCTCAGCTTCAGGAAGGACTGGGAACAGGGGACAAAAGTCTCTGGCTAGAGGAGTCACATAGCTGATAAGTCATTTTAGTTTCTGTCTTCTCTTTTACTTCTTTCTTCCAGAAATCTGTTGATTTAGAAGAGAGGTTTGGAACTGTTTTAGAAAATAATATTTACACAGTGCTGAAGTTTCTCCCAATTTTTCACACAATGTGTGCTGCCTAATTCTTAAAAACTCCAGAGTTCTTGTAAAACAAAGAATTCAGAATAGACCTTTATCTTATAGAAACATGATTTATCAAGATGACTTAACATATATACCTTACATACTTTGGAATTTTTGTAGACCACAAAAAACTTTTTTTTTTTTTTTTTTACCTAATATACTCTAAAATAACACAGTCTGCCAGACCACAGTACATCCGTAATTTAGAGCAGCAGATGTTGCTACACATGCTTCTTTTTAAGACCAAGAAGCAGCACAAGAGAAAATAAAACAAAAAGTTCAAAACAGAAGAGAAACCTGAAACAGTGCAGAGATGAGGGAGTTGGGAAGCCAAGGGCAGCTGGTTAAGTTAGCAAAGGGGGTGTGGCGATCTGAGCTCCGAGTTTGCTATATTTATCTTTTAAATGCTTTGTAAGTCATATGCTTATCCTGTTGATCCAGGTTTGATGGCTTTCTCCTAAAATTTATTTTCCATTAAAACTATTTCAATTAAGCAGAAGCTGGAAGGACTTGATGCTCATTATGTGTTTAATCATTCCACATTTCATGTGAGAATTGGCTAAGATGTGCTGTGCCATGGCAGAGTTTGTTGCTTTCTCTCCCAGAGTCTGCTAATGTTTTCATTTTGGTTTTAACTCTAGCTGATCCCACAGTTAAGGACTTAATCGGAGGCTTCACTGCTCTTCATTATGCAGCCATGCATGGCCGGGCCCGGATTGCACGCCTGATGTTAGAATCTGAATACAGGAGCGACATTATTAATGCAAAAAGCAATGATGGCTGGACTCCCCTTCATGTGGCTGCTCACTATGGTAGGGACTCATTTGTCCGACTCCTACTGGAGTTCAAGGCTGAGGTTGACCCGCTCAGTGATAAAGGTACAACACCGCTTCAGCTCGCCATTATCCGAGAGCGGTCAAGCTGTGTGAAAATCCTCCTGGACCACAACGCCAACATCGACATTCAGAACGGTTTCCTGTTGCGATACGCTGTGATTAAAAGCAATCACTCTTATTGCCGAATGTTCCTCCAGAGAGGAGCAGACACAAACTTGGGTCGCTTAGAAGATGGACAGACTCCTTTACATTTGTCTGCCCTTAGGGACGATGTGCTTTGTGCACGGATGTTATATAATTATGGAGCGGACACGAACACAAGGAACTATGAAGGACAGACCCCATTGGCTGTTTCAATAAGCATTTCTGGAAGTAGTCGACCATGTTTGGATTTCTTACAAGAAGTCACAAGTATGTAATTTAATTATTGCTATTATTACATTTAAAAAAATTTTTTTTGCATCTTCTGAGGAGCTTAAGGTGTTTTTACAACTTAAAATGACCAGATGTTAATGATTCTTGTTAGCCCTGCTCATTCCACTCATCTGAAATGAAAAAGAAAGCTCTATATCATGGGATTTCATAAAAATAATCGTGTTACTAAAAGTAAATAGGCATAGTTAGGGTGAGAGAAAAATTGGCAAAAAGGATGCAAAGAGCAGAATTTTTTTAATTAACAGAGATCAATGCTAGAACAGGGCATTTCCTACTAGTCATAAACATAGTTTTTCCAGGCTTTCATGAAATTGAGAATGAGGAATTAGAAGGAGAATTTTGGATCTTAGCATCCTTAGCAATGGAAGTATCTTAGAATTTGTGCTTTATTCCTAAGCTGTGCTCATGTTTTATCATTGCGTTTCTGCTTCTTTACAGTGTGAACACACATGGAATGGAATAGCAGTGTTATTTGTTAGGCATCCGAGGAGTACAGATTAAGGATGCTAGAAATTAGAAGTTGTTGTAAGGAAAAGTTTGTTCCCAGTAGAGAATCTGGTGCCACTGCCCCTGGCCCACACAAGGACAGTGTAACCGGCCTGTTTCCGTGTTGGCCTTTTTTTTGAGCCACGAAGTGTCTGATCCCCCGTGTTGATGGTGCGTGTGTGGTGGTTTTCTGGTGGAGGAATTGCTTTGTGTGGAGTAGCTACCCTCTCCTCTCCAACTTCCTTGTGGGAGCTTCATATTCAACATGAAGCTATTGTCTATAAGCAAAGCATTTTGTCTACCATACTTTTTAATGCATTCCCCTTTCCTCAACTAATTTTTATGTTTCATTCATTGTTATAGAAGAAGAAAGACATTCTAGGTCCCAGGTAGTAGAGGATTAGGAGCTTACTTGACCTGCTTGTAAATAATCCACTGTCCTCCTTGGAACTGAATTTGCGAGTAGAAAATTTATGAAGAAATGAGGTATAATTTGGATTTTGTTTATTAATAAGAAAGACAGGATGAAATTATTACCACTAAGTATATTCAGACTCAAGCAAAAAAAAAAATCACACTCAGGGTCTAACTCGTGCTGTCCGATAGAACATTCAGTGATGATGGAAATGGTCTCTGTGCTGTCCATTATGGTAGCCACTAGCCCCATGTGGCTGTTGAGCTCTTATTTTGTGGCAAGTGCCACACAGGAAATGTATTTTATTGTATTTATAAATTATTTAAATATCCGCAAGTGCCAAGTGGCTGTCGACTTCTTCAGCACAGATATGCCTGCCTTGGGGGAGGTGTTTTGGGCTGTTTGGTAGGTGAGCCTTTGCAGAAAGCTCTTAAGACACAGTGTGTACTCAAGAGACAGGAGGTGTTGTGTGTGCTGATTCCTCCCCGCTGACTTCAGATCCAGGCCATATTTTAGGAAAAGACTGCAGCAAAAGTTCAAATGCTGATTCTTTCAGCAAATATTCTAGTAGTTTTCAGTTACAGACTGATAGGGGTTGTTGGTGTTATGAAAGATAAAATAACTCTTGGACTTGAGGCTAGAATTCTGTTGTATAGCCTACACAGTGTATCTTATACATAAATTCTAAGTGTCTTCTTGTTACTGTTGCTTTAACTTTGATACTAGATTACCTGGCTGCCTTCAGGAAGGCTTGTTACACACGTAAATGCCGTAAATGCCGCAGCCTGTTTGTTAAATACTTTGATCAGTGGTTAATGGCATAGACTAGGACTCAACTGACTAGACTTAGCTCCAGCCCTAACTCTACCACATACTACCTGTGACCTTGGGTAGATTTGCTAACTGCTCTGTGCCTCAGTGTCCTTATCTTAAAATTAGGGTAATCATATCTGGCTTATAGGCCTGTTGTGAGGATTGAATGAGTTAATATGTATAAAGCACTTAAAACAATACTTGGCACATTATAAGTGCTGTGTGTGTGTGTGTGTGTGTGTTTGTTTTTAAAGAAAATAAAGTATTAATTGAAGGTGATGAACAGCAGGGGCTGACTTGCTACCTATGGATTGAATCCCTTAGATTCTTATTCTGCCCTGCCTTTTTTCAGCTCTCTAAACTGTGGTGTGGTCTGCCTGTGAAGACAGGTGGCCAGAGGGATGGGAGGAGTCGGCCCTTTGTCCCCGGCCCTTTGGAGCTGCTCAGCACCACCACGGAGTGCTGCTGGAGAGCAAGTGTTGAGTTAAAAAGAGATGCACGTGTACCTTTAAAATTAGGGAGGATAGAAAAATTGACATGCCTTCCTCATTGTGTTTGAGTTCTCCACTGCACCTGAAGCAAAGCCATGCACCTAGTAGGTCCGCAGAAAAGGTGGGTTGGCTGACTGCAACCGTGAGGATGGTGGCTTAGCAAACTTGGGATGCTTTTCAGAAGCGAAGGAGCACCTGCCCTTGGAAGGCTGCAGTTAGCCTCTGTCTTCAGATGCCGTGACATAATTCATTAATCTTGACTTTACCATCAGTGGTGTCTTCTGCCAAAAGCAAATGAAATGTTTCTGCTTTACCTGTGCATTGTTTATGAGGTTTTCTTTTTCCTAGTGTGCCGGAAGGACCAACTGTAACTGATGGCTCACTGGAGCTCTGTACTGGCTCTCTTGAAAACCAGAGTGAAAGATGGTTGGGTGGCTCAGGGAGCGTCAGGTTAAGTCCCTGAGCTCCTTCCTGCCTGTGCTGCTGCCGAGCCCCTGCTCCCTCAGCCCCGCGTCCTCGGCCTCTGATCTGAGAACTCAGGCTCCTGAGGTGTAAGAACAGCGAAGGCACTTGGTGGTCTTTATTCAGGGCCATGTTAGTTTTCATTGTTCCACTTTGACTAGAGAACACATTATTTAAGTCGGAAGAGCTCAAAACAGTCATAATCTTAGAATCTAAAAGTTGTTGTGGCTTTTTAGAAAAATTGCCATAAAACCTCTGATACACACTCCATAAAAACAGGGCAGGTCAAGTGGCTTAGTTACAAAGTTGTATGTGCAGGCGCCTTGTTGATCACAGTAGAGGGAGAAGCCACAAAAAGCTGCTGTTACTCTACAGACAGACTTCCAGAAACCTCTGCCTTCTTGAATGTCCGGAACTCAATGTGGCCTCCTCCAGAAAGCCAGTCAACTGAAGGACCAGCCTTTTTGTGCCCGGGAATAATGAATACAACCAAGAAGAGCCAAAGATCATACCTAGAGAGTGAGGATCAACTTACTGAGGGAAGGATGTTTCCTCCTTAAAGAAGCTAGCTTTGGGTCTTAGTTCTTTTACTCGGATAAAAGAGAAAGCAGAGACAATGGAGCAGATAAACTAAAGATGCATGAGTGAAGTCAGTAAAGGTGTGACGGGGGCAGGAAGACGTGCTGGTGACAGGCAGCAGCAGGCATCCTGGTGGAGACCCCTTACGGAGGCCTGTTGAGAACTCTGATTCTGAGGATTGTGCCAGTGTGTGCAGTTAATTAGGGTAATTTGTATGTGTAGTTTGCAAAAACACCATTATAGAGCTAAGAGGATCATTGAAATTCTGGCAATATAGGAAGGGGCAAAAATTCTCTAGCTGAAGAGCAGAGATTGTAGGAATGTTTGTCCAATTCAAAAGAAAAAAATTAACATTTATGCACAAGAAATGGCAAGCACAAGAAAATGTTAAAGGAGGTACAAGACCAAAACTTCAAGAAAGATTGTTTCATAAGGAAAGCTTCCCTTGAGGAAATGGTTTAATAATAATGAAAACCTCCCTGAGCAACTGGATTGTAAGCTGGTGCTCTTTCCCCCTTGTCAGCTCCCTGCCCTACCGTGTAAATTTCCCTAGTCGAGGTTTTCAGAATATGAAGATCTTTTAGGAGAGAGAAAGTCCATGAGGAAGGTATTGTCCTTTCCGCTGTTTCCTGCCTTACTCGCCCCCGCCCCCCGCCGCCCCAAATACCCACACTTTGGTGAGGGGACTGTGGTGGAGGGGTCAGGGAAACATTTATTCTCCAGGTAGGCTAGGACTCTGGCGAGGTCTCTCCCTTGGCTCACAGACCTTTGTTGTGAAGTTTCCGAGTGTCTGTCAGGTCAGTGCTCACACCCTCCTCCTTCCAGAGCCACCAGGGGTCTTCCTTGCCTCTCCCCTGGGAACCTGAGGGGTCCCTGAAAGGACAGCTCAGAACACGTGAGTGGTTCCTAAGACTGTGGCTCTCACTCCCAGGCTGGGCCACGCACAGCACTTGGCTGCTTGTCTAAAGGACCATTTAAGTGTTCCCACTAGTTTGTGGCTCCAACAGCTTCTGCCCCAAGTGCACCGATTTCAGCTCTGATCACAGATCTGTCTCTCTCTCTAGATTCTATGGTGGAGGTTTGCCCTATACATCCATTTACTGATGAGTCCTAGGTACACTCTTGATTCTGAGTTTGTTCAGCTTTTTCTTCATGTAAGAACTGGAGTGATTATGATTACTTCAAGTTCTCTTTTATGTTGGAGCTGAAACAAGAAGTCTGTTCATTGTTCTTATCATTTTTCAGTTACATCGTGAAAGTTGTCCACAATGTGAAAATCATCCTGTCCTCGGTCCCTGGGGCTGAGCAGCGTTTGCCCTCTTGGGCTCAGAGGCCCCTGTCTCCCTCACGGCACCCCGACGGTTTCTCAGCGGGGCCTGTGTCTGGTTGCTGTTGGGTCAGCTGCGTGCTGTGGCAGGGAGAGCAGACAGTGGGCTCTTGCCCCAGCGTCTGACTTAGCTGATACGCCTGGGCAGGCCGCCTAGCCTCCCACCCACCCCGCGGGGCTGTGGCCTTCTCTGAAAATCAGGGGAATTAAGAGTCTGTGGGGTCCCTCCTTTTAAAAATTCTTGCCAATAACCACTCTTAAAGGGAATGATATCCTGCTGCTTGTGGTTTTATTGTATTTTGTTTTTGGATTCATACAGAACGGTGTGGACTCTCGGGGGTCCTCAAGACATGAGTTCAAAACTAATTTCATAACAGTGCTAAGATATTACTGGCCTCTTTGA